AGTTTGGTTAGCCCTTTCTACTCTCCCAGAGGATTGAGGCTTCCATGCTGAATACAGTTTAATTCCAAGGGACTTAACGACCCCTTGAGTTATTTGGAAGATAAATAATGGGCCATTATCACTTTGGAGACTCTGAGGTTACCCAAACTGGGGAACTATTTATTGTAAGAGAAATTTTATAATCTCATTAGCCTTCTCTGTTCTGGTAAGGTAAGTTTCGACCCAACCAGTAAAGGTATCTATTAGCACTAACAAAAACTTCTATCCTCTGCAAGCTGGCATTTGGATTAAGTCTAATTGCCAGGCTTTCCCTGGGTAAGTTCCTCTCCTCTGGACTGGTTCTATTAGAGGAAGCATTTTGTTTCCTGGACTGTTAAACCCACACAGTGAGCAGGATTGACAGACCTGTTTAACCACTGAATCTACGTTAGGGCCAATGAAGAGCCTGTTAACCATGGCCAGAGTGGCATCTCCATTGGGCTGTTTGAGGGAGATTTAGTTTGGTTCCATATATCACGAGGATTCTTGTTTTGGTCCCCCTTGCTCCTTTATTAACTGTTCTTCCTGTAGTGTGTATTCAGGATCCATTGGGGATTCACAGAAAAGAAGCAGTCCTAGGATCCCCTAAGGAATGCAGCTTTGGCTTCTCTATCAACCCTTCTGTTTCCTTGTGCTATAGGTGTTAAGTCCCTTTGATGTCCCCTACAATGGATTATGGCTACAGCCTTTGGTAGGTGTATTGCTTCCAATAGCTGAAGAATTTCAGGCTTATGCTTTACTGGGGAGTATTTGCTAGGTAGTAGTCCCTTTTCTTTCCAGATTGTAGCATAAGCATGAAACACAAGGAATACATATTTAGAATCTGTATAGGGATCATAACCGGTACCCTCACATTTCCAGCAGGGGCCTGGCAGAAGCTTGGCACAGTCCTTTGCCAAGTGCCCAGCCTCCTTACACTTAAAGCAAGAGCCCTTGCTGGCATTATCCCTGGGGTAGCAGGGCTGGAGGGAGAGTTAAATATGGTGTTCCCCTATGAGTGTGAGCGGGGCTTAGTAGGGTCTCTTAACAGTGTTTGGGTGTTAGCCTCAGGAGCACTTGGCAAGGGGCTAGACAGGGGCAGTTACTATTCACCCTGAGACAGGTGGCCCGTATAAACGGGGGTCATCTATAGTATCTAGTTCTGCCTTTGAACTTTCCTTTGGGGTGTGTTATTAGATTTTGGTATAGGGCCATCAATGCCTATACATGTGATCTCTGTTTGTACTGCCTCTTACAAGGATATGACTAATTGCAGGATGGTGTCATAATTAAGACTACTATTAACCACACATTGTTCCAGGATGGGCAGCTCATAATGAGACCAAACAGTATTGCAGAAAAAAAAAATCATAGGTTTTCTCTTTAGATTTTCAGGGGCATATTGATTCCAATGGTGGAGGATGTAGCCAAGCACGGAATCAGGTGGAACAGATGGAGAGTTGCCTATAGAGGAATCAGGTGGAGTAAATGGTGAATTGCCCATAGTGGTGTGCAAAAGAGAAGATGACTTTGAAAAGTGGAGGGCGGCTGGGTGCGGTGGCTCACGCCTGTAATCCCAGCACTTTGGGAGGCCGAGGGGGGTGGATCACGAGGTCAAGAGATCGAGACCATCCTGGTCAACATGGTGAAACCCGTCTCTACTAAAAATACAAAAAAAAATTAGCTGGGCATGGTGGCGCATGCCTGTAACCCCAGCTACTCAGGAGGCTGAGGCAGGAGAATTGCCTGAACCGAGGAGGCGGAGGTTGCGGTGAGCCGAAATTGGCCATTGCACTCCAGCCTGGGTAACAAGAGTGAAACTCCGTCTCAAAAAAATAAAATAAAATAAATAAAATAAGAAAGAAAGAAAAGTGGAGGGCTCATTAGGTGACGCAAATTTTACCTGGAGCATCCCTCTGGAAAAATTCTGGACCCTGACCAGGGACCCCTCTTAGTCCATCGGATGTCTGCAGCCTTAGATGGGTGCCAGCACCACTTTGGAATGACTCTCCACCACTGATGACTCACTGTGAGCTTTCCCTCTTGTCCCTGGATGAAGACCTCTACTTCTAGAACAAACCTTTGGATTTTTTCCTATCCCATTTAAAACAATTCTTTAATTCTCTAAATTTGGACAAGATTAAGTTCTACATAGATTCCCTTTAATGAATCCCCTCCACGAGTCACAAAGACCATCTACAAGATGCCCAAACCCTGTGACTTATCCTTAGCCAGTCGATTAGGGGAAGGGAAGAATTTAACATATGGAAAAAAGGTTTAAGTCACCTGAAACGTGTGCATTCACCTTGGACGAGCTGCCAATGCCAATTATATCACACATAGGGATCAGGGACTATAACTGGAAAAAACAGAAAGGAGTCCTTCCTTCTTCTGGGCAAGGCAGCTATCACCATTCACTCCTGCACCTTCAGTTAACACCAGAAAGTGGCCCCAGTTGCCCTCAATTACCAAGGGGCTACTAGAAAATGGCCAGTGAAAGACTGAAAAAGAAAAGGACTCAGTTCCCTCACCTGAACCAGGTGGTGGCAGTCAGGTGCTTCCACATGGACCTTTCATTTTCACCAGAAAGTGACCCTGGCCAGAAACCTGCAGTTGCCTCCATGCTTAGGCACAGTGTCCATCAAGAATCCCAGCTTGGAAAGGAAAAAAGAGAGAGAAAGAGGAAAAAGTAAAACCAAATCCCAAACTTTGGGCTTACCTCCTTGCTGGCTCACCAAAATGTGTTACCAGTTGAGGGTAGTTGTTTAGGTTCTTGGTGTTTTGAACAAAGAATTGGACAAAACACACAAGGCAAGGAAAGCAGAGATTTATTTTAAATGAAAGTACGCTCCACAGAGCAGAAGCAGGATCAAGCTAATGGCTCAAGAGCATCAGCTACAAAATTTTCTGGGGCTTAAATGCCCTCTAGAGGTTTCCCATTGGCCCATGCCCAGTGTGATTGGTTGTGGGAGGGGACCAGAGTGAAAAGCAGGCCCTCAGGTCCGGTTTTTTGTGGGAGGGGACCAAGAGGTACTTTCATTTTTCAACTGCCACCCCAAAAAAGGAAGGGTTGCAACTGCCATGCAGCAACTGCCACGCAAAAAAAGGAGGGCTTGAAAATGTGTGGGGGATAAGGAAAGAATGCAAACCTTCTGAAAGGTTGGAAGGTTTTGCAGAGCTCCAGGGCAGAATGGCTGAAGGCAGCTGTTTTGTAACCCTGAGGCAGAGGGCAAGGAGTAGGGTACAAGGTAGTGTAGGGGAATTTATCCTAAACTGGCTTGTTTACTTACATTGACCAGGAACTGATTTTTGATAATCTGCCTGACATTCCTTGAAAGGGGAACAATAAATGTTACTTACCTGCAGGTTGTGTTTGTTCTTTTTATCTCTTGTACTCTCTCAGGTTTTCAACGTTGTGCCTGCACTGAATATAAGCAAGCAGCTCCAGCTTCTCGGGGCGGCTCTCTGGCCACCAGAGCCAGGCAGTCACCTAGCTGTTCTTACTTACACTGCATACTTGTGTCTGAGTACTCATTTCATCTGTCCGCCAGGGTCTGAGGAACAGACCTGGCAAAAATAAGAGTTTCCTCTGATAAACAGTTAGCATGAATCAGTCTTAGGTCTCCTGCCTTCAGACTCTGTTCTCTTACTTAACATTGTTTCTAGAGAATTTTTTTTTCATTTGCACTGAAAGGGCAGAATTTCTCAAACCAAAACTATCATGTCAAAAACCAGACTATTTTCCAACCTTCATTTCAAAATGACCACTATCACTTTTTCCCACTCTTGGTCAGGGAGTAGAATAGGGTCTGGAAGCAGGGATTCTAAGACCCATTCATGCTGACTTTCTAGAACTAAATCAAAAGGAAAACTCCAACTTTGCATGCCCAAGTAACCAGAGGCTACCTGCTTTGCAACCCCCTGCCCAACCTTCCAGACCCTTGGTGACAGGGCCTAGTATTTATCTGCATAGGAGCATAACTTTGTAACTTTAGCCTCTGATTGGTTGCAGGCAAATCCTTCATTTACATAGGGTGTAAACCAAGTAACCAATGGGAAATCTCTAGAGGGTATTTAAACTCCAGAAAAACCTGTAACCAGGGCTCTTGAGCCACTTAACTGGAGGCCACTCCCACTCTGTGGAGTGTACTGTCATTTCAGTAAATCTCTGCTTTCCTTGCTTCATTCTTTCCTTGCTTTCTTTGTGCGTTTTGTCCAATACTTTGTTCAAAACACCAAGAACCTGGACGACCTGTAGTCAAGACCCTCCATGGGTAACACTTGGGACTACCTCAAAGCCTTAGAAATCATGGAATGATTTTTCAACCACATTGTCCAATTCTAATGATGAACAGGCCTGTAGACCAGTCTGAATCTCGGAATTTGCCTATCAAAGATCAGCTTTCCCTACTTCATAGATCTTCAGAAGCACAAGTCTAACAAGGCTAATATTCTACCATTGGGATCAAATTGCTCACTAGGTAGTTAAAAGACACCAAAAAATTTCAGGAGTTCTTTGCTAATGAGGACTTCCGAATTATGTAGAACGGATGAGCTACTAAGCAGTGTTTTATCTTCCTACTCTTCTAATCGATTGTCATCCCTTAAAGCGCTGCTAATTTTGGAGAACAATCTATAACCTGTTAGAAATAGCAGGAGCTGGTGATGACTACAAGTCCCATGATGCAAAGTATGAGCGTGGACCAATGTTGGTCATGGTGCCTTCTGGGAATTGTAGTCTTCTAATCACCTGTTTGGCAAACTAGGTATTGTAGCATCCATTTCTTAGAAGTTCACTTGGAGAAGTAAAGAGAGTGAAGAGAATGTCGATTTCCTGCCACAGGATTACATTTATCCTCGCTACCGAAGCGCCCGGCGGGACAACTCCAGTCACGTCTCCGGCGGGAGGGTCCCCTTGGCGTGACATCACTTCCGGCAGAGATGTCCCAAGCTCGGCCCCTCCTTCCACACGGCTGGGATCCTGGGCCCGGCAGCAGGGCAGAGGCTGTCTGAGGCGGGGAGCAGCTGCTTTCGGGGCGGGGGTGGGGGGGTGTCACGTGAGGCTTCTCGCCGCTGAGGGAAGAGGCGAAAAGCTGCGGTGGAGGAGAGTCGGGTTTAACCGTCCACGGGAAGCGCGCTTGTTCAGGATCGCGGAGTGGGCTGAGGTGGGGACAGGGTCGTTACTTCTGGACAGGCGGTCGCTGTCCCGGGTTCCCGTACGGGTGACACCTGCAACCTCGGTGTCCTGCGGGCGGCGCGGGGCTCCGCGGGAGAGTGGAGAGGCGCAGCAGGAAGCCCGGCCACCGTCAGGCCACCGCCGACTCGGCTGTGCGTCCGGGAGGCTCCGGGGCGCGTCGGGCAGCGGAGGCGGGAGAGGCTGGGAGCCTGGGGAGCGGCGGGTCTCGGCGCCCGCGGTGCCGGAGACGCGGGACCGGCGCAGACCCGGGCCTTACCTTCCGAGGGTCCACCTGTGCCCGGTGTTTGCGGCTCTTCTTCCCGCCCACCAGGTTGCTCGGCGTCGGGCCACCTCACCTGAGGTTTTCCGGACTGAGACCGAGCTGACTGCCCCGGGAGCATCTCCACCCCGGGGCAGAAGCGAAGACGCTCCCAACGAGCACAGCACGTTTTTTATGAACGCCGAAGTAGCGCTCACGTCTCTGGACGTCAGCGACCGTATTGATAGACGACCTCGGCGGCCTCAGGTGGCAGAGTGACAAAGGCCAGGTAGATCCCTCGGGCCTTGAGAAGGTTGAGATTTCAGGCTACTTGCTTGTTTGTGGGGAGGCCATCGGACGGAGCCGAGGAGCGGTGAATCCGCAGCGCGAGTTTCACGGATCTTTGATAATGGGAAAGGTTGCCGAGAGCCACGTGCTGAGTTAGAAATCTTATGTCAGCATCTTTCCAAGTCCGGGTGACTCGTTTCTTACCTTTCCCACCAGCCGAGTTTCCCATGGAGAGCTGGGCAGCAGATCCGTTATTGTTGTGTGTAGCCTTGTCGTTTTGTTGGTCTGTAGTTATTGCAGTTTCTAATGAGTTTATTATTTAACAACGTGATAGTAAACCATGTCTTCTTTGTGTTATGATACTAATGATACTATTCTGACACAAGATATACTAGTTATTTTGATAACAGATTATTGAGTATGAGTTATAAAGATGTAAATACCGTCAGTTTACCGCAGAGCAGAATTAGTGATGACCTCGAAGCTGTGAAGAACGGTTAAACTTTTCACTAATTTTGTTGCATATAAGTTTCATGTTCACTGAGTTTTATTTGAGTAACTTGACCAAGTGTATTTTTTACATCTTGGGTTCTATAAAATTTTACTATGTAGCATCTAAGCATCCAGTTCACTGTTACTAATCTGTGTAAGTCTTTATAGCTTCACTAATTAAATTGAAAGGTAATGTGAATAGATTTCTTCCCTTTCTAATTAAATCCAGAGGTGATGTAGATAGGTTTCCTCCTTTTCTTCTCTTCCCTTTTTCTCTCTTGTACTGAATGTAGTACTGTCAGGATGATGAGCATGGAATAAGACTTCAGGAGGCTCTTTACCATTCTTTCTCCTACCAACTTTTATATAGACGAAATCAGGTTAAAATGAACATTACAGAAATAGTTCACAAGGAAATAAATTAGGGGGGGAAGGGATAGCGTAGAAAATGGGTTCAAGAAAAAAAGAGTGTGAAGTAGTTTTGCTCTCTCTACCTTGCAAATAGGAGTCCTTAGAGACAACTGAAATTAAAAGAAGGGGTTTGAGGTATGTTTTCATTCCAAATAAAATAAGAGTGTCATAAAATCGAAAAGAACATTTTTTCTTTTGCATCCTGCTACAGATTAAAGACTAATCTTTTACTATGTCTTTTTTCATTTTTAGTGAATTCCTAAGAAGAAAATAATGGATTGTATATTAGTTGTTCTCTGAGTGTTTGGACTCAACAGTGTGCAAGCTTGTTCAAAAGCCAAAAGAAGATGGCAACTCCTTATGTCCCAGTTCCTATGCCCATAGGAAACACTGCTTCCAGTTTTACAAACAGCAGAAATCAAAGAAGTTCTTCTTTTGGCAGTGTCTCAACAAGCTCAAACTCTTCTAAAGGCCAGTTAGAAGACTCAAATATGGGTAATTTTAAACAGACAAGTGTTCCTGATCAAATGGAAAATACTTCATCTGTCTGTAGCAGTCCCCTCATTAGGACTAAATTTACAGGTGCAGCTTCTTCCATTGAGTATTCTGCTAGAGGAAGAGAAACTGAAGAACAAAATCCTGAAACCGTGAATTGGGAAGATAGACCTTCTACACCTACTATACTGGGTTATGAAGTGATGGAAGAAAGAGCTAAATTTACTGTAAGTATTGACTTCTGCTGTATACCAGTACAAAGTGAAAGATTGGCTAACCTGTGCATTTAAGCCAGTGTTAAATTAACCCCTTTTTTTAAATTTCAGTTGATTCTAAGGACTCCTATTTGTAAGGTAGAGAGAGCAACACTACTTCTTAATGACTAATTAAATTGAACTTTAATTTAATTTGGCTGTTTGGCTATTCTCTTGTGAAATACCTGTGCATGATTTTTCTTTTGGGAAGTCTCCCTTTTGATTTGTAGTTTTCTATGCATTTTGGATATAAGTTCTTTTTCAGATACAGGTATTATGACTATCCTCTTTGTGGTTTGCCTTTTTAATTCCTTAATATAATACATTCGATAAACAAAGCTTCTTAATTTTAGTTTGGTCCAATTTATTAATTTTTTTAGTGGCTAGCACTGTTTGAAATCCTTGCCTGCTTCAAGGTTACAAAGATATTGTCCTGTGTTTTCTTCTAAAATCTTTATTGTTGAACCTTTCACATTTAGATTTGTAAACCATGGGAACTGATTTTTGTCCATGGTGTGAGTTGAGGGTCAAGTCTTTTTTTTTTTTTTTTTCCCCAGTTGGGCTCAGCTAATCAGGCTTTTACTAAAAAGACCACTCCTTCTCTTCATTTTCAGTGTTCTCTGTGTCATAAATCATGTGACTATAAATGCATGGGTCTTCTTCTGTGTTCTATTTTTCCATCCTTTACTAATTTCATACTGTCTTGATTAGTAAAGTCCTATAATAGGTCTTGATGTGTAGCAGTGTAAGTACTCTAGCTTTTCTCTTCAGGATGGGCTTGGCTATTCTTGGTCCTGTGTATTGAGATTTTTTAGATCTATAGATGAATCTGTGGAGAACTGACATCTTTACAATACTTAGTCTTCAAATCTATGAACCTAATCCCTTGACTTAAGGCTTTAATTTTTTGTAGTAATGTTTTGTTGTTTTCAGTGCAGGGTTCTTACATCTTTTGGTTAGATTTAATTCTGGATATGGATGTTGTTTAATGTTCTTGTGAGAGACATCTGTTTTTGTTTTCTATTTATTCACATTTTATATATTTTGACCTTTTATGTTTATGTATCCAGCAACCTTGCTCAACTCAGTTATTAACTCAAAAGGTTTACTTTTTTGGTAAGAGTTTGTTCTTTTAGTAAAGTTTAATGTTTACTTCAATGTTTCATGCTGTAAATTTATGCCAGGATGGGAGGACCTCCAAGGAAAAATTATTGAGATAATTTATGAAGAGACAGTTTTTTAAATTATCATAAAACTGATATAGGAAATCTATAGGGAACTCATCTTTTTTTTTTTGAGATGGAGTCTCACACAGTCACTGGGCTGGAGTGCAATGGCAGGATCTTAGCTCACTGCAACCTCTGCCTCCCTAGTTCAAGAGATTCTCCTGCTTCAGCCTCCCAGGTAGCTGGGATTATAGGTGCCCACCACCATACTCAACTATTTTTTTTTGTATTTTTAGTTTCACTATGTTAGGCCAGGCTGGTCTGAAACTCCCAACCTCGTGATCCACCCGCCTAGGCCTCCCAAAATGCAGCAGTTACAGGCATGAGTCACCATACTCAGCCTCTCTTTTTTTAGAACAATTTTAGGAATTATAATGAACAGATGGCCAATTTCCTGAATAAAGGAATAGGCATTCATTGAGTTGATACTATATGGTCTGAATGTGTTCCTTCAAATTCGCATGTTGAAACCTAACCTTCAAGATGATAGTATTAAGAGATGGAGCTTTTGGAACCCAGTAGGTCATGGGAGGAAAACGCTCATAAATAGGATTAATACCCTTAAAAAGAGGCCCCAGAGAGCTTTCTTGTCTTTTCCACTTGTCAGGACATAGCTATAAGGCACTATCTATAAACCAGAAAGCAGGTTCTCTCTAGATACCAAATCTGTTATTGTCTTGATCTTGGACTTCTCAGACTCTAGAACTTTGAGAAATAAATTTCTGTTGTTTACAAGCTACTGAATTTATAGTATTTTGTTATCACAGACCTAACAGACTAAGACAGATGATATGTGTGAAGATGCAAGTATATAGCCAAACACAGGATGGTGTTATAGAAAGCATTTCAAGAGACTGTAGAGGAAGAAGTAAATGACAAATATGAAATTAGTCTTATTCATTTATTCATTAACTCAACATTTTTTTAAGACCTATTATGCATCAGACACTGTTCTGGGTAATAGTGGTACAGCAATTTGAATGAAAGCCTGATAAATAAGTAAATAGTAAGACATCTGATATGTCATATGGTGATAAGCACCATAGAGAGAAATAAAATAGAGAAGGAAGAAAGGGCATTTCCCCAAATCTGGGGATTTAAATAGCACTGTCAGTCATGGCCTCACAAAGAAGATATTAGTTAGTACTAACATCTTGGATGAGAGAGCCATGAGAATAAGCCATGAGAATATCTGGAGAAAGAGTTTTCAACACAAATGGGACAACTACAAAGATCCTCATGGCTGACAACAGAGTATGCTGGGGGAGGTGTAGGGAATGAGATGACAGGCAGGGAATTGTGGCACACAGATTGCATAGGGCAGAAGGCTACTGTAAGGACTTTGGATTTTACTCTGCATGAGATGGGAATCTGAAAAGGTTTTTAAAAGAAAAGTTGGGGCTGGGCGTGGTGGCTCATGCCTGTAATCCCAGCACTTTGGGAGGCTGAGTTGGGTGGATCACAAAATCAGGAGATTGAGACTATCCTGGCCATGATGGTGAAACCCCGTCTCTACTAAAAATGCCAAAATTAGCTGGGTGTGGTGTCGTGCACCTGTAATCCCAGCCACTCAAGGGGCTGAGACAGGAGAATTGCTTGAACCCAGGAGTGGAGGTTTCAGTGAGCTGAGATGGTGCCACTGCACACCAGCCAGGCAATGGAGCAAGACTGTGTCTCAAAAAAGGAAAGAAAAAAAAAGAGTCGTGTGATCTGATCTGACTTAGTGTTTTAAAAAGTTCATTCAGGCTGCTGAATTGACTGGTTTGGTCGAGATAGGGGAGAGTCAAAGCAGGAAGCAGTTAGTAGGTTCTTGTAGTAATCCAAGGGAGATACGATGGTAATGTAGACTGAGGAGGTGGAGGAGGTCCTGAGAAGTTATCCGATTCTGGATCTATTTTAAAAGGTAGAACCAGCAATATTTCCTAATGATTTGGAAGTGGAGAAATTGGCATAAATAATAAGGAGCTCCATGTTAATCCCCAAGACAATGGGGAAAATGTCTCCAGGGAATATGAGAGGTCTTCATGGCAGCCCCTTTCTTCACAAGCCCAAAGCCCTAGGAGGAAAAAGTGGTTTTGTGGATCAGGCCCAGGGTCCCTTTGCTGTATCTAGCCCAGAGACTTGGTGCCCTGTGTCCCAGCTACTCTAACCATAGCTGAAAGGGGCCAACATAGAGCTCGGGCTGTGGCTTCAAAGTGCAATCCCCAAGCCTTGGCAGTTGCCACATAGTGTTGAGCCTGCAAGTACACAGATGTCAAGAATTGAGGTTTGGGAACCTCCCCCTAGATTTCAGATGATGTATGGAAATACCTGGATGCCCAGGCAGAAGTTTGCTGTGGGGGTGAGGCCCTAATGGAGAACCTCTGCTAGGGCTGTGTGGAAGGGAAGTGTGGTATCAGAGCCCCCACAGAGTCCCTACTGGGACACTGCCTCGTGGAGTTGTGAGAAGAGGGCTGTCGTCTTACAGATCCTAGAATGGCAGATCCACCAACAGCTTGCACTGTGCACCTGGAAAAGCCACAGCCCATAAAAGCAGCCAGGAGGAGGGCTATACCCTGCAAAGCCACAGAGGCAGAGTTGCCCAAGGCCATAGGAGCCCATCTCTTGCATCAGCATGACCTGGACACGAGACATGGAGTCAAATGAGAGTATTTTGGAACTTTAAGATTTGACTGCCCCACTGAATTTCAGATTTACATTGGGCCTGTAGCCCCTTTGTTTGGCTAATTTCTGCCATTTGGAATGCCTGTATTTACCCAATGCTTGTACCCTCATTGTATCTAGGAACCGACTAGCTTGCTTTTGATTTTATAGGGTCATAGGCAGAAGGGATTTTCCTTGTCTCGTGTAAGACTTTGGACTGTGGACTTTTGAGTTAATGCTGAAATAAGACTTTGGGGGACCATTGGGAAGGCATGATTGGTTTTGAAATCTGAGGACATGAGATTTGAGAGGGGCTGGAGTGGAATGATATGTTTTGGCTGTGTCCCCACCCAAGCCTCATCTTGAATTCCCACGTGTTGTGGGAGGGAACCAGTGGGAGGTAATTGAACAGGTCTTTCCCATGCTGTACTTATGATAGTGAATAAGTCTCATGAGATCTGATGGTTTTAAAAACAGGAGTCTCCCTACACAAGCTCTTTTCTTTTTTCTGCTGCCTCTGCTGCCATGTGAGATGTGCCTTTCACTTTCCACCATGATTATGAGGCCTCCCCAGCCACATGGAACTGTAATTCCAGTAAACCCCTTTATTTATAAATTGCTCAGTCTCAGGTATGTCTTTATCAGCAATATGAAAATGGGCTAATACACTTATGGTACTAGTTACATAGGTGTGTTCACTTCGTGAAAATTTGTCAAGTTGTATACTTATGAATTGCACACTTTTTTGTATATATTTTATAATTCAAAAACAAAGACTACATTAAAATAAAAACAGTACAAAGAAATACATATGAAACTTCAAGTAAAGAGTAGAAAGAACAATGGTTGTTAGAACATAGAGAAGGGAATGATTAGTATTGTTCATAAAAGTTTTCATTGAAAGTGCTACTTAAGTGAAAGGAGCACTTTCTAGAAGAGATAAAACACAAAAGTCTGTACTTTATCTTGTCTACAGAAACAGAGGTATTCAGTGGCCACAGTGGAAAGTAGCTTAGTTAGAATGGGGAGTTCATTTTCTAAAACAAGGAAATAAATTCAGTATGTATTATTTGTAGATAAACCTAATCATTATATGAAGTGCATTTTTATCCTGTATCAGTCATTTATACTCACACGTTTTAAAGTCGATTTATTCTCTTCTTTTAGTGAGTGACTCCTAAAAAGAATTTCTTTTCTATCTCCATTTCAACTTTCTTAGCTCAGGACCTTCTGCTGACCTTGTTTCCCACCTTTATATGTTATAGAGATAAATTGCTTGTTTTTTACTTCAAAGCTGAAGAATTTATCCTTAACTCCTCCCTTTTCTCCCCTCTTAAAAGTTGAAAGAGAAGTTTGTATGGGAGAAAAGTCAAATGGTAAGGATAATCTATAGTCCCTAATTAATGAGTTGTCTTTAGGGGAGCACTGTCCAATAGAAATATAATATGAGCCGTAATTATGAATCACTTCTGTAATTTTAAATTTCCTAGAAGCCACATTAGTAAAAAGGAAATAGGTGAGATTGTTTTATTAGTATATCTTATTCAACCTAAAATGTCCAAAATATTATCATTTTAACATGTAGTTAGTATTAGACTATTTTAATAAAAGCCATTTACATCTTTTTTTCACATTAAATCTTTGAAATTCAAGTGTGTATGTTGCACTCACAGCATATCTCAGTTTTGACTAATCACACATTGAATGCTCATTTGCCACATGTGACCAAAAGTGCAGCTCTAGAGCTCCAGTTGAAAATTATTGCACAGCGAGCAGTATAGTTTGAAGTCAGGTAACGTGATTCCTCCAGCTTTGTTCTTTTCATTTAGGATTGCTCTGGCTATTTGGTTTTGTTTTTTTTTTTTTTTTTTTTCTTGTGCCATGTGGATTTTAGAGTATTTTCTAATTCTGTGGAGAATGATATTAGTAGTTTGATAGGAATACTGTTGAATCTGTAGACTGCTTTGGGCAATGTGGCCATTTTAACATTGAGTCTTCCAATCCATGGGCATGGAATATTCTTCTGGTTTTTTGTGTTGTCTGTGATTTCTTTCAGCAATGTTTTGTAGTTCTCCTTGTAGAAATCTTTCTCTCCTTAATTATAGGTATTCCTAGATATTTCTGTGTGTGTGTGTGTGTGTGTGTGTGTGTGGCTGCTGTAAATAGGATTGTATTCTTGATTCAGCTCTCAGCTTGAATGTTATTGGTATATGGAAATGCTATTGATTTTTAAACATTGATTTTATATCCTAAAACTTTACTGAAGTCCTTTATCAATTCCAGGAGCCTTTTGGCAGAGTCTCTAGGGTTAGGCATAGAATCATATAGTTTGACTTCTTCTTTTCCTATTTGGATGCCTTTTATTTATCTCTTGCATGATTGCTCTGGCTAGAACTTCCATATTTCATTCTTGACAATAAAAATATTGAACTTATTTGAAAACTTTGCTCAATAGTTATTAAGTTTTAAAATTGTGTAGAACAGGCAGGGTGCAGTGGCTCACACCTGTAATCCTGGCACTTTGGGAGGCCGAGGCGGATGAATCATCTAAGGTCGAGAGTTTGAGACCAGTCTGACAAACATGGAGAAACCCCTTCTCTACTAAAAATACAAAATTAGCCAGGTGTGGTGGTGCATGCTTGTAATCTCAGACACTTGGGAGGCTGAGGCAGGAGAATAGTTTGAACCTGGGAGGCAGAGGTTGCAGTGAGCTGAGATCGCACCATTGCACTCCAGCCTAGGCGACAAGATCCAAACTCCAAATAAAGCAAAAATAAAAAATTATATAGAACAAAAGTACCTATTTTTCAAAGCTTCTTCAAGCATAATTCCTTTAACAATTTTAGAATATGCTGACTTAAATCATGTTTTGGAAGCTGATAAGTTTATTGTTAGTGTGTACAGAAAAGACATTTGTCTCAAATCTGTTATATTTCCTAAGGAAAAAATCTGTCTTTTGGTACTTGCATTGATTATTTGTACTTTTGATGATTTAAATGATTTTTGATATTTTTTACATAATAATTGTTATAGTCTGAGTTATCAAGTAAAGGTTTTAAAAATATTTGGCTTGAATTTTTAAATATCTTTACTTATTTATATTTCTGTCTCTTTCTTCCTGTGCATAGGTGTATAAAATACTAGTAAAGAAAACCGCAGAAGAAAGCTGGGTAGTTTTCAGAAGATACACTGACTTCTCCAGGCTTAATGACAAAGTAAGTACTGTAATCATCCAAACTAACATTTCAGTTTTGAATTATTTTTTAATTTCCTATACTTCTGTTATATTTTTTCTTCTTTATTGAGTCAATCCTTTCTAGTTCATAAAAAATTAAATTTTTAATAGAAAATTTAAAAAATAAAATTTTTTATAAAATCAATTTTAGTATTAAAATATGAAACTTTTAATTGCCAAGAGGAATATAAATAATTATCTTGTGAGTTTCCAAAAGATGTATATAATAAGATCTTTTGACTTTTTTTTTTTTTTTAAGACAGGGTTTCACCATATTGGTCAGGCTGGTCTCAAACTCCTAACCTCAGGTGATCCGCCCACCTCAGCTTCCCAAAGTGCTGAGATTACAAGCATGAGCCACTGTGCCCAGTTCTGTTTTGGCTTATTATATAATTATATATGTCTATAAGATAATGAGTAAAAACATGTTTAACATATTGTATTAATTTCCTATTACTACATAATAATTTACCACAAACTTTGTTGCTAAACCTGTTTATTATTTAGTGGTTTGGGTGGGTTCAGCTGCATTTGTTGCTTAGCATCAAGCAAGGTCAACATCAAGCTGTTAGGTGGGCTGGGCACTTATCTGGAGGCTCTGAGGAAGAATTACCTTCCAAGCTTATTCAGGTTGTTGGCAGAATTTAGTTTATTGAAGTTGTAGGGCCAAAGTTTCTGTTTCCTGGCTGATTGTCAGCCAGCAATCATTCATACTTCATAGAGACTGTTGGCCAGTCTTTATATGTAGCCCCTGCATCTTCAAAGCCAGCAATAGTGAGCCAAGTTCTTCCTGTGCTTTGAAGCTCTCTAACTTTCTCTTCTGCCACCAGCTAGAGAAAACAGTCTACAGGAGTCATATTATAAGATAAGGCTCACCCAGATAATCTTCCTATCTTAAGGTCAGTTGATTAGTAACCTTAATTACAGCTGCAAAATCCCTTTTTCTATGTAACATAATAAAATCACAGAAGTAACTCAAGGCAAAAGTCGTGGACCATCTAGAATTCGGTCTACTGTGCATACAAAAGAGAATGATAATAAACTTCTGTATATTAAGAACTCTTAAAACTAAATTAGGAAATTGAACCCCAAGTAAAAAATGCAACAAACAGTATGAGCAGGGTAATTCACAGAAGAAACATAAATGACCAGTATACCTGGAAAACACTTACTGTGACAGATACTCCAAGAAAAGAAAATAATGACACTTTTTCACCTGTCAAGCTGACAGATATTTAAATGCTATTATCTGGTGTTGGAAGATTGAATCTTCCTACAGGACACCCAAAAGTTTTGCATAGTTTGATATAATAATCACATTTCTAGGATTTATCCTATATAAATAATCATAAACCTGGAAAAGATTTAGCTTTAAGGACACTTACCACAGTGTTTTGAATATTGCTTTGTTTATCTATGTTTTACTTTGTTTTTAGTAATTAAAAATTGGAAGCAACTTAAATTTCTGAAAGTGAAGAATTAAGTAAATTATTATTAGAATATAATAGAGCAAAAAAAAGAAAGAAGAGCTGAGCTGTCCCCAGAGCTGGAGGAAAATCAGATGGTTTTTAGTAGTTAAAAGTTGGAAGCAACCTAAATTTTCTAAAAGTAAAGAATTAAATAAATTGTTATTAGAATATAATAGCAAAGGAAGGGCTTCCTTGTCCCCAGAGCTAGAGGGAATTTAGATAGGGAAGGAGGCAGAGGGTGTGATATTTTGGAAGCCAAGAGAAAAATCATTTATCTAAAAGCATCAAGCAGTTTATGATGCTTTTGAGAAGCCAACTAAGATAATCTTAGAACATGCAGAGATTACTCTCCAATTTTGACAGGTGTTTAATAAGGAAGCTTTACTGGTCCTTTCCTTTATTCCTTCTTTGGACTCCTTGAAACTTTAAAGTTAGTATATTTTTGTAGTGTTTGGTGATGGGAAACCCATGTAACTTTGTAGTTATTTACCTGCCAAATTTTTTTCTGCCACTCTTAAAAACCTCAGTTTAAATGAAAAGGTAAAATATAGAATGATAAATTATTTTATCCATTTTAAGATTTGGTTAAGATGCTTTCTTGCAATATGCCAAAATAAAGTGTTATTTCTACTGTATGCCTACAATTATATATGAATTTTATCTACTGTTCCTGAGCTTCGTATATTATACTGAATTTAAAATCTGTAATTCTGTACTTCTATTGATTTTTTAAATGACTAAACAAAGATAAAAGCAATTCATGAAGTTACCTGATAATTAAGCAGAATACTTAGCTTTTAATGAAATTTTTACAATTCTGATCATGCAGACTGATTTCAAACAGTTTCATTGTATAGCTATTTAATCCTTTATGATGTCATTTTTCTTTTCAGACTCCATTGTTATTTAGTGTTTACTTCCTATTATCGCTTTAGATTTCATTTTTAATTACTGAAGTATTTCCTTAGGCAAGCTGAGATTTAGATGAACTTTTTTGTAAAAAGATAATAGGAGTTTAATTTAAATTTGGTAAATATCTCCTTGATCCTCCAAGATGGGCATTTAAAATTAGTAAATGTTCATGTTGGTGTTATTAGTTACCAGAAAAAGCTTGACCCATCACTGGCAATGTTTTAAAAGTGTATCAAACACCAAGAGGCACATGGTTTAAATTGTAGTCATTATTGATATTACTGTAAAAAATAAAAGCTTAGGATCTTTCATTTTATAAAATCAATCATGAAATATTTATGAAATGAGTAGTTTGAGTTCAGCATTGTGCTAGGAATTTGGAGTTACTCTTATGCAGAAACTATATAGATGTGATTCTAACTTTAAGGAATTTGCATTACCCAGTTATATAGTTGTGAAGTAAAACTAGCTAATTGGCAATACCAAAGTTATTGAACATAGCTAAAATAACTACATAAAGAGAACATTCATATAGAACATTAATATATTTTTTTTTAATCTCCTGAGTTATGGTCTGACTTCACCTTCTCTGCAACTAATAAAAGCCTCTGCTGAGGAAGTCAGAGGACAAAGTCATGAGCAAGTTTTGGAATGCACAGAGCTTATCAGAGTTGGGGCAACCAAGCAGGGTTTTAGGGTGGGCTGGGAGATGCATTGATTATAGAAATATAGCCATGATAAGTGAGTTTTTCTTTAAATTCTACTTAAAATTTAAGCTCAATATTTCTACTTCCAGGTCACAGCAGTAGTACAAAGCTGAACATTTCTGTGAGGTAAAATTATTGTTCTCAGTTGCTTCCAGGCAGCAGAGCTTAGGGAAGGTGAGAGCAGGACCCGTACCAATTCATTGTCAAGACATTCCAGGTTCATATGAAAACCTGCGGCAGACTCAACCAGGCATTCAGTCCTCACATTAAAAAGAAGTTTAGTGATATTCTACATGTCTGTCTCTTTAGTCACACTGCTCTCTTCTAAACTAATCTGCCCCCTCCTTATGAGGTTCATAAGTGGCATCCTGAGATTACCTTTCACTGTCTTTCTGGCAGTTGTTTTCATTTCTCTCCTTTGTTGGATATTATTTTCTCTATCCCTTATCTTCCTCTTTTTTGAATTTCCCAATTGTGGGACAACTTCTTTTCTGTGGATAATTTTTTAAGGGAAAAAAATCTAACCATGTCTTTGGACAATATGACATTTCAATTATAAAGCTTAAGATTAATAAAAAGACTTTTTATTTCTCTCATGACTTTTGTTATTTTATTTTCTTGCCAGATACATTAAATAACAAAGCTCCAAGGTCATAAATACCTAGTTACATTTGAAATCAAATTAGGTTTTTAGTTATCTAAGTTACTCTCTAGTTTTTACCTTTTTTATTTTATCTTTATTTATTTATAGAAATATAGACAGAAAGTTATAATTTACATTTTTTTCTACCATTTTATCCAATGCATTTTTCCTTTGTAGTTGTGATATTTCATTTTATATTTACGTATAGAAATGCAAATGTACATGGATTCATTTCATTCATTCGTTTATTGAATATATGTTGTTGACTGCCTGTTATGTTGCAGGCACTATGCCAGACATTAAAGATGCAGCTATGACTAAGGCATAATAATTGTAGTGTAGTAAAATGGTTCTCAATTTTACACTTTGGATTCCCCTGGAAAGCTTTTTAAAATTACAGTGCCCAGGCCTCATTTCAACAAATTAAATCCTAATTTATCAGAGATAGAAAACAGTCATTAATATCTTTTAAAACTCCTTGGGCGATTCTAATGTGCAGCCAAAGTTTAGAATCACTGGTCTATTAAGAAAGCCTAAATTAAATGTGCTGTTTACGTTGTGAATGATGTCATTAAAGAAATAAATTCATGATTTGACAGTGTGTGTCAGATTTTTTCTAAAAGTGGCCACGGCAGTATCTTCAGTCCCATATGTTCTTCCTGAATCTTGGCACTGCCCATCAAGAGGTGGAATCCATTTCCCCTCCCCTTGAACCTGGATGGGCTTGTGACTGTTCAACCCAAGAGAGGTCAGTGAAAATAATGCTGTGTGACTTTCAAGCCTAGATTACAAGAAGCACACAGTTTTATTCTGGCGTGCTTTCTTGGGATCCTCCCTTTTGAAGCCAGCCTCCATGCTGCAAGAAAAGTCCAAGACACCCGGAGAGGCCAGTGTTAGGTTTGTGGCTGACAGCCTTGGCAAAGTTCTCAGCCAGCAGCCAGCATCATCCTTTATACATGCAAGCAAGTAAACTTCAGACAGTTCTAACACCCAACCTTCAAGTCTTTCAGCTGAGGCCCAAATTCGTTGTATATCAGAGATATAGCATCTTCACTGTACTTCATATGAATTATTGACCTAAAAAATTTGTGAGCTTAATATTAATAAATGCTTATTTTATATCACTGAGATTTCAGGTAATTTGTTACACAGTTGTGGTAACTTAACAGAATGTAGAAAGGAAGACTTAACTACCTAGTTTACAGGATTGGGAAAGTCTTCCCTAAGAAAGTAAAATTTAAGCCAAATGTATAAAACGAGTCACAACAAAAATGTAAAAGTTAAAACTAAACTTTTAGGAAAGAAACATGGAAGAAAATCTTTACAGTCTTTCAGTAAGCAAAAATTTTTTATGATCTTAAAAAAAAAACCATAAACCATAAAAGAAATAATTGATGAATTAAATAACATTTAAATTTTTAAAAATCTGCTCCATTAAGACTGTTAAATTGAAAAAGTCAGTCCACAGTTGGGAGAAAATATTTGTAACACATATATCTGACAAAGGACTTGTATCTGAAACATATAAAGAACTCTTACGACTTAATAAAAAGGCAACCTAATTTTTTAAAGGGGACAGTGCTAAAAAATTTAATACATAATTCACTGGAGAAGATATGCAAATGCAAATAAGCATATGAGAAGATATTCATCATCATTTGTCAGCAAAGAAACGCAAATTATAACCAGAATGAAATTATTCTATACCCCCAATAGAAAGGTTAACATTCAAAAGATAGACAATGCCAAGTTCTGGCAAGGATCTGGAAAGACTGGAACTCCTCTGTATGCACAACTGGTAGAAAACAAGAAATAAAACAATCAAAACATAACGAGCTGAACTGAACTTAATTATTTTTTTATTTTAAACTTATTTCATGAATAATTTCATACAGTCAACAGGATAGATTTTGTAGAATTGATAGTGATTGAGTTAAACATTGTATTTGCTCTTTTCTTCTTTTTCAGTTAAAAGAGATGTTTCCAGGTTTTCGACTAGCACTTCCTCCAAAACGCTGGTTTAAAGATAATTACAATGCCGACTTTTTAGAAGATAGACAATTAGGATTGCAAGCTTTTCTTCAAAATTTAGTAGCTCACAAGGACATTGCTAACTGGTATGTAACAAATTGAAATAAAAGATTATAAAACCATTCCAACAACTGGCGTAAATTAAAGAATAAATCTATGATCATAGTTATTTAAGCACAAAAATACAGCGTAGGAATGTAATTATTTTAATAAAGTACTACAAGAGATTTTCATGCTTTCTTTCAATAAGGACTTTATTTGGCTTTTCATTTTTATCAAAGCTTATGTCAAAAAGTCAGTAAAGTGAAAAATCCAGTGTACTATGTACTAAATCCACCCAAAGGTAAACTTTTAGCATTTTGTATTTTAGCCATGACTTAAACAAAACCACTTATAGATTAGTAAAATTTTGATTAATATGATGCTATGTAATTGTAAAGGTAATATTCTTTATATTTCTCCAAAGTAGTGCAAAAATATTAAAATTGTGAAGTTGGGTTAATTTATATAGGAGGTAGAGTGAAAATACCAAAAAGCATTTAAAATTGAAAAGAACAGATCTATATGGGTTTTTTGCTTCACAATATATTTACAAGAAAATTGCTTAGTGGTATAATATCAGCTGAGTATCTAATTTTGAAACTTATATTTCAGATAAATTAAAACTATTTTGAAAAAAAGTACAGAGCATTTACAATGCAGCAATAGCTTATAGATAACTTGGGCCCATAACTGTCTTGAGCAGTTTTTCACATGAGAATGGAAAACAAATTAAGAAAACCATCCTATCTAACTTTTTGTACCCTTTTTTCTCAGACTTTGCATGTATCAGGTTTTTTTCCTGCATAACACACATGTGAGATATATATATATATATTTATATATGTGCATCTTACTTTTGAATGTGTGCCGCATAAGCCTGATGAGTTCTCAAGATCCCTGCCCATCCTCCCTCACTTTTCTCTTAAAGAAGGAACTGCAAGCCAAACCCATTCTTTCTACTCCAGAATGATATATACAGTTGCCTTCTCGACATCTCCTTCAGATATCTCAAAATTGCCTCAAACCTAAAACACATTTGAAAGTTTAGTCTGCAACCTTTTTTCCCCAGTTTTCAACAGCATCATCTACCCAGAACCTGTAAGTCATCTTTAACACATCCCTCACTACCCTTAATATTTCCCTTGCAAGCACCACTCATATCTGTCTACTTTCTCCATCCCTGCCATCACTACCGTAGTCCAAGAAGGTTTCTCTCACCTTAATTACTGTAGATGCTTTCCCACTGGTCTTCCTCCTCCACTCTTATTTCTATACGCCAGTAAAGCTACAGTGATCTTTGTGATGCAGTTTGATTTAAAGTATTCTTTCTGGTCCCTGCCTACCTACCTGCCTTCTTTCTAACCTTCGGTTTTGTTATTCCTACCCACCTCCAATTCTCTTCACATTTGCCATAGTGGTCTTTTAATTCTCCAAAATCAGCTTGCTCCTTGTTTCTTAGAGCCTTCAAATATGCTATTTCCTGAAAAGGCAACCTTTCACACTACTACTCCACCCAGCTCTGACCTTACCTTACCCATCCTTCAGGTTTCAACACGCATTTCACTTCCTTAGGTAACTGGCCTCCTAACAGACCCTTCACCACCACAAAACACTAGGTCAGTTATTTCTCATAGTGTCTGTACCATTCCCTTCTCAACTGGTTCTGATGCTTTAAGACACCCATTGTAGGTAATGAATTAATTTATTTTCCTGTGTCCTAAGATGATACTGGCTATGTGCCAGTCTCAATAGAATTGAGACAATAATTACTTAAATCATTGATCAGTAGGGTTCAGTTCTCTCTTGGAATCCCAGTTGAGAAAGGCTAGTTGGTACTTCACTTTCATAGCACTTCAGTTTATAATTATTTCTGTCACTATTTGTCTTTCTCCCACCAGATTGTAAGATGTATAACAACAGGTCTTGTGGCTGTTTTATTTTACTCACGTCCAGTCTCTAATGTTTAGCACAGTGCTAACATAGTTGATTCTCAATAAATACTTCTTGAATGAATGACAGAACTGTTGATATCCACTGATGTATTGAGTGTTAGAAAAAAAAAAATTGAAGCCATTGTGACAGAGTTAGCGATTATATAGTCTAGGTGGTGAGAACATTAGTGCTCCCCACTTTTCTGTGTATATATATTTTACATGTCAAAAGAGAAAAGATTAGTGTTAATTCAGACTCACAAAGCAGGAATAAAAACCAGTAAACACCAAAATTATACAGAAAGCCTTGGAAGAAAATATGTTTGATAGCATACCATAAAAGAAGACTTTTACTGCCATCAAAAAGTTGACATATCCTTTCCCCTTTTCTCTTGTCCCTTGTTCAGTAAACCTTTATGTCTCTGTATTTAAAATATTGTGGTGAATCAAAATCAAATGTGTTCTATAAATGAATCCTATTTTTAAAGTACTGATAATTGATCTTAGTTGCTAAAGTAGACATTACTAGAGCCATTTGAGATCCTGTCTTTTCTAGTTGCTAAAGCAGACATTACTAGAGCCATTTGAGATCCTGTCATTTCTAAAGCTACATAGCTCAGAACAGTGGTAATGGTCTTGCTCAATTCATAAATAGGCGTTTAAGGGAAAGAAAGGTTTCTTGGCCCAATAAGCTGGAGAAAGGTTTCATTTGATATCCCTAGAGGATTAAAGCTTCTAAGAAATCTTGCATGAAAGACTCTAGTATGTATTTGTTTGCCTACCTGCTTTTGTCATATGATATCATCAGACATTTAGGAAATGTAGGAAGATAACTTCAATTCAATTAAAAACAGGGTACTTGTGCCTTGGCACCCACTATCACAATGTAAGAGATTTCTTAATAACATATTGTTTGAGACATGCTTTGGAGAAAAGAAGGAAGGGATATTCACTCAGGGCAAATCTTATGCATTTGCCCTGTAACAAAGGGTGTAAAAGAGAGGGTATACTTACTAGTTTTAAAATTCATTTAGAGAAATTAGGCTCCTGTTTGAACAAAATAATGACATTTATGAATTGCTGCTTGGTATGGTACAGTTTATAAAAGTAAGAAGAACTCAAAGAAGAGGGAAGACCAGTGCTGTTTGCAGTGATCAAGCAATACTGGGAGTGGGATTTTGAGAGTCTGGAATGCTTAAGATTATGGGTAGGAAGATGGATATGAGCAAGAAACAAATAATTAGAAAGTATATAGAAAGTCTGAGGTTGCCAAATATTTATGAATTGATGGTCGATCCATTAAAAAACAGCATAATACTTTTCTATACTTTTTTGAGATTTTATCTTCTCATCCCTCAGTACTATTCCTTCTATAAAATACATACATAATTCTCAGTGTGTCACAGACTATATTATTAACAGTGATGCTGCCATCAGTATTACTGTTGTACTGCATAGCCAAGATTTTAGTCATCTCTGCGATCTAAATTGAAATGGCAGGTGGAGCATAAGACGTGAGATAGAAGCTTGATTGTATCCAACAATGTAGGAGAGGGGTGAAAACAGATTCTCTCATTTTTCAGTTAAAATCAAATGTATTCTATAAATGAATCCTCTATTTTTAAAGTACTGATAATAGATCTTAGTTGCTAAAGTAAGGTAGTGGGGTGGGGAAGGAAGGGGGGAAATCCCTCCTACAGAAGAAAAGGAAAAATGACAAACTTTCAACACTTCTTTATGAAAACATAAAACTGCATGTAAGAATCACTACATAAAAACATCACTTAGTTGTACATTACCTGTTGGGTTGCCTGTTAGCATTCTGGTACAGTTGGAATAGCAACATAGAAAAAACTTACTAATTTTAGCTGGCCAAATAATTATATGATGTTGTTTATACATTAGTATTAATTGTTCTTTCACTTTTATTTTTATATCCTTAGCACCTTACAACACAGTTATTTCTTAACTTCGTGATTTCTAAGCAATTGCCGTTACACAATGGGCAGCTCTTAGTGTTACATATTCTCCAACTCTTAAAGCAGAAATGGAAGAAAATATGAACTGAACGGCTATTAAGGACTATTGATTTGAATATTTTAAGATCTAGAATATTGTTTTCAGATTTATTTAGAAAATTCAAAGTAAGGATTCAGATGAAAACATTAATATTTACATGATAAACAGATTTCTTAGAGATTTTATCTATTCAATAAATATTTATTTAGAGCTTGCTACATAAAAGATATTTTGACTATATAAAAATGAGTTAGATACTCATCCTATTAAAAAGAAAACTGAATAGAAAGAAGACATGTCCCCAAAAATCATAATGGATAAAGAATTAGATCTCTTTTAAAGGGGGAAAAGACAGAACTTTTGACTAGGAAAATGAGACAAGGCTTCTCAAAGGGTGATAGTTGAATGGCACTTTAAAGAATTAGTGATAATTGTACCAGCAAAGAAAGATGAAGAACAACTTTGGAAATGATAGGAAATATTGTAATCAAAATGCAGAAGCAAGAAGGTAGAGGTCTTGTACCAGTAAAAACACACAAGTCAGTTTATCAAAGTGAATACAGCCTTGTATTGTACAATTTTAGTTAAAATATAGCTATTTGTTTTACACTGTCTTGAACTACTTTTAAATTATTACATAATTAATCAGCACAGCAAATATTTTACTATTCTTCATTTTCAGAAGTACTTCACATATCTTATTTGCCAATTTTTTTCCTTTTTAATTTTTCAAAATTCGAAAGTTAAAGTTATATATTTTTCTTCACATTATTTATCTGTAAGGGCTTCAGTACCAAAATTCAGTATTTTTAATTATACATATTTTTTTTTAAAGTTCAAGTTGGATCTGGATTAATAGCAGTTCATGGTTTTAAAGAAAAGAAAATAGCATCCAAACATTAATATGACAGAACAATTGAAAGAAATGAGCATATGTATCCTTTAAAAACTACTCGGGAGATAGGATAGCCATCTTTACATATTTGAAAGATTGTTTTGGGGAGGAAGGATGGATTACATATATTTAAGAGTAGTGCTTCTCCAACTGTAGTGTGCCTGTGAATAACCTGGGATTTGTTAATGCTGACTCTGATTCAGCAAGTATGAGCTGAAGATTTTGCATTTCCAGCAGGTATCTAGGTGATGCTGATACTGGCTGGTCTAATAACCTCATTTTGAATAGCAAGGCTAACACATAAAATAGAAATAACAACAAGAAGTTAGAGGAAAGCACTATCAGCTCAGATTTTTAAAAGTTACCTGTCATTTCAAGCTGTCCGATATAAAAATGTTCTGTCTTTTGAAAAACTAGGTTTCTCTTTATCTTAACTATTTGAAGAGAGTAGACAATTATCAGTGGTATCAAAGAGGGAATTATTAAATGGTTTGTTTTTTTTTTCCTTTTTCTTTTTTTTTATTGCATTTTACGTTTTGGGGTACATGTGAAGAACATGCAAGATTGTTGCATAGGTACACACATAAATGGTTTATGTTTGATTAGATAACAACTTAGGTCTCTTCTAGTTATAAAAATTCAATAATTCTCTAACTGGAACAAGAATTCTTAAAGATAACTGTTTTATACCTTTGCAACCTGAACTGTCTTTTCACAGGAAATTCAGTCATTAATGTCTCTAAGTTGTTTTTATTTTTTTAATTAAAAAAAATTTAAGATATTCAGAAAAGTTCATCTTAGTATTTATATAAAATGAAAGATGAATTCAGTTACGTATGCATTAGTTCATATAATGCTATCTCATGAAAATCAACACATTGCTAAGGTTGGTTAGATAGTTTTTGCTATAAAATGTTTGGTAGAAATTAAATTATAGATAGTTATAAAATTTGCAATAAAGTCAAATATTTTGTTATTAAGAGCGTTTGAAAATATAGTAAAACTTTTTTAAAAAAACTTTTTCAAGAGAATCAAGAAAGTTGAATTTGTAGTACAGATTTGCTCTGATAGTTAAAACAATGCTGAGAGATATCATTGGTGGTTTTCTTATCTACCTTTAGGCAACTTAAGTCAACACCTGATCCCAATTTTAAAATAGTTTTCCCAAACACAGTAAAAATGTATTCCAGAATATAAAAGGAATAATGGCACACATAGACGATCAATAAGTATTCATTGTATCTAAATAAAGTTATGTAGTCAGTGATTCTCAAGCAAAGGTGAGGGTTTCCTTTCCTAGGAAGAAAAATGTTTCAGAATTTCTAAGAAGAAAGGAATTGTTTTCTCAAATACTACCATCTTCCAGAGATTCTTAGGTGTCCTCTCCTTAGCTAGAAATAGAGTTTGAGGGTATTGACTGTTTTCTTTACCACCTGAAACTTGTTGAAGCAGAGGAAATGTAATGAGCCACTGAAAAGGTGTTATGTAAATTAAAATTGTAAAGCCAGTTTCAAATTTTACTCTGCTACAGATTAAAGAAAGTAAAGCACCGAGTATAAACTTGGAATTATATAGGGAAAAAAACTTAGAGAATCCACGGGATTTCATTTAAGTAGAACTCTAGTGAGCCATAGATCATTAAGATTTTTAGGGAAGGTGAATATAAACAGAATAACCACTCCAAAAAAAGATTCCTCCAGCTGGATACGCTGTCAACATTCCCTGTTGATCTTGGCTAAATATCTACTGTAAATCAAAGATACAAAAAGGCATATATGTTTACTCCTTTTACTTACTTTTTCTTTTCTAGCAGCAACAGTCCAATAATTAATTTGTAAACTTAAAAATGGCATTAAAGTATGAGGAAATTTGGATATAAAACTGTAAGAAAATAATGTTTTACATTGTATACCAGAAGTATTATATAAGACCCTTCCTTATGTTTCTTAGCAGTTTGCTTTCAGTCTTAAATGCTATTTTCTCAGGGTTTCATGCAAACTTGACCTCTCAATCCCAGATCACTTGATTTCCTACGAGTCATTTGTATGTAATAGTAGGTGAATAGAAGTATACTTTCTAAATCAGAGGACCTTGCTCTACTCTGTGTTATCAGACCAACTGCAGTGCTGCTGTGCTGCAGTGTTCTGCTAGAGAGGGATACAGATAAATTGAATGTGTTCAGAGAGAAAGTGTCCAGCAAGGAGAATCCAAATGAACCAAAACATAAGACAAAGAATTTAAAGGTAGAAAAGGGCACATAATCACACTCAGGAAACAAGATTGAAGGTACAGCTTACCACTTGCACTTTCTGACATTGGACAAGTAATTTCACATCTCTGAAGTTTGGTATCATTTCTGAAATGGAGATCCAATACTTATCCTAATCTTACATGATTGTTGTGAAAATTAAATACAATAGGATATGTGAGCATATTAAATATAATAGGATATGTAAAAATCCATTTATCTCTTCATGGACACCTTCTGATATCATCAACCTGTCTGGCCTAATCTGAACCCAAAAGCCCCATTCCCTTTTCAGCATAAGTTGACATCCCCTTTTTGTAGTATATCAAGAAATCCCAGCCAGATGAGGTGGCTCACGCCTGTAATCCCAGCTGCTCAGGAGGCTGAGGCAGGAGAATCACTTGAACTCAGGAGGCAGAGGTTGAAATGAGCCGAGATCATATCACTGCACTCCAGACTCCAGCCTGGGCATCAGGGCGAGACTCTGTCCAAAAAAAAAAAAAAAAGAAAGAAAGAAAAATCCTTTGTCAAAGGAAATTTCTAAAATTTTTATTTTGCTAATCAAATATAAATTTAAGTATGCACATTTGTGTTTTGATGTGTACATAGAGTTGTCTCTCAGTTCAAAATTACTTTATAGAAAGGCAGGGAGGCATTTTTATTACAAGGAAGTTTGATTATGTTCCCCTTTAACCTATTTCTCTAATAATAGCAAAGTATAAGCATAACAATATCATATTCATTATTATTTTAAAATTTGTAATCATTTAGAGATAGGATGGTTAGAATTTTTTCTCTTAAACTATCTGGGGAAAATAAGTAAATTAATATAATAAATATGATTGTAAGGTCAGTCTTTAGCTTGTTTGAGAGTAAACGCTTTTCAGTCACTTCAGAAGCATCTGAAACAAAAACAAGTGAGGTATAAATTAGAAAGTGCATTTATTTTTAAAAGGATAATGACAGACTAGTTCAGACTAATATTTCTTTGAAAATCGTAAAGAGGCTATTCACTGTGTTGGTCTCTTGAACCATTATTTTGTAGTATGTTTTATGTCCTATAGTTTGTATGTAACAATACATTTGTGATTTTTATGTTCTAAGATCTTAGAAAACACCTTAAAATCTCTTTGCATCTTCTGTAGTTTTATATTTAGTTGTATGATAACACATAACCAGCTTGCTTAAAACACTGTATAGCTTCAAAGTAACTTTTGCTTTTTGCTATATTTTACAAACTTATTTGTACTTCAGATAATTTTTTTTTCCTTTGAAAAGCCTTGCAGTGAGAGAATTTCTTTGTTTGGATGATCCACCGGGTCCATTTGATAGCCTAGAAGAAAGCAGGGTAAGTGCTGTATTATATAGCACATGAAAAGAGGAACAAATAATACAGTATAATAACTACATTGTTTCTTGAATGGAATAGCAAATAGCTAAATATTATAATTTCAGGCTATGGTAGTTTGCACAGAAAGCTTTTAATGTTTGAGTAAAAGGTTTCTTTCATTGAAACACATGGACTTAGTTCAGTGAAAAAGTAAAAATTCATACATGTTAGATAGTCAATAAAGCTCTAAAATTAAATCCTACATTTATTTTTACTGTTTCCAAAAATAAAATGATTTGGGGACTTTTTAAATAATACTATGTGTATACTGAGTTTTCTTCCATTTGAGTGTCAAAATAAGGAACTTACAGCTAAAATCAAATTTAAAACTTCAGAGGTAGGAGTGATTGTCTTGTTAACAGTTTAGCTGGTGCCTGATGCTTCTCAAATTACATTAATTGACGTGTTAAAGCATCCTATTTCTTGAAGCAATGGCCTAGATTCACAAAACAGATTTGGTAATAGTAGATTAGGTAGGATTTTATGCAAGTTTTTTCCCTAAATGTTTAATGGTCCTTAAATGAAACAGATTTAATTGGTAGATTTGTAATGTTTTTCATTCAAGCTGGGACAGTTCTTTGTATTAGATTGAATGCCATAGCCTTTTAAAAACATTTATTGGAGTAAAATTTCCATCCATAACATTCACCAATTTGTTGTTTGCTATTCCACTGAAAATGTACAATTTAATGATTTTTAGTGAATTTATAGAGCAGTGCCACCATCATTACCGTAACCCAATTTTAGAATATTTTTATCACCTCAAAGAATTCCTTATAAGCCATTTTACAGTCTGCACTTCCAACCCAAGGCAACCACTGATCTGCTTTCATTCTCTACACATTTGCCCTTTCTGGATATTTCATATAAATAAAATCATACAATGTGTGTTTGCATGAGAACAATATACATAAGCTTTTATATATGCAGCCTGCCTAATACATACAGTATTGTAATCTTTTACACCTGATTTATTTCACTTATATGCTTTTGAGGGTATTCCATCTACAATTATTGTCTACAATTATTTCATTACTGAATGGTTTTGCATTGTATGCATATGCCACATTTTGTTTATCCAGTCATCAGTTGAGGGATACTTGGATTGTTTCTAGTTTTGTGATATTATGAACAATGCTATGGACAGTATCATATAATGTTTTATGTGGACATATGATTTTATTTCTCGTGGACTGAGAAATTCTACTTCCCTAGGAGTGGAAGTATTTGATTATGTAACAAGTTTAACTTTTTAAAGAAACCAATAAAGTTTTTGTAAGTTGCTGTATTACATTCTAACTTGTACTGTACAAGAGTTCTAGTTTCTCTATGTCCTCGCATATTATCTCTCTTTCAGATTGTAGCCGTTCTCTTGGATATGTAGTGATACTTCATTATAGCTTTAATATTCATGTTTCTAATGATTTTTTATATTGATCATCATGTCACATGCTTTTCAGCCAGTCATGTTTTCTTCTATGAAATGTCTGTTCATGTCTTGCCCATTTTTTTGTAACTTGGACTGTTTATCTTACTGACTTATAAAATCTTTATATTAGATACAAATTCTTTATCAGAGATACAATTTGTAGATATTTTCTTCCAGTCTGTAGGTATTTTTTCATCCTCTTAATGGTATTCTTTGAAGTGCAAAAGTTTTTTATTTTAATGAAGTTCATTTTTATCACTTTTAATGGCTTATGCTTTTACTATTGTATTATAAAAACTCTTTGCCTAACCCAACATTACAAAGATTTTCTCAGACTGTTTTTTCTAATTTCATACTTTAGCTCTTACAGTTAGGTTTATGGTCTATTCTGAATTAATTTTTTATGAGGTGTTAGGTAAGGTCTTAAGTTCCTATACCTATCTTAATTTTTTTTAGTTCCTTTTATTTAATTCTGTTGACATTTTCGTCAGAAATCAAATGACCATGAAAAGAACGGTTTGTTTCTGGACTCTTAATTCTAGTCTATTAATCTATTTTTCTGTCCTTGTGCCAGTATGATACTGTCTTGTTTACTGCAGCTCTTATGGTTACTGTTTGCATAGCATCTCTTTTCTCATCCTTTTACTTTCAATGTTTGTCTTTCAACCCAAGATCCATCCCTTCTACATAACATGTAATTAGGTCTTGATCTTTTATTCTTTCTGACATCTTTTACATCTGCCATTTTGCAATTTGTTTTGTTTGTCTCATCTGTCTCCACCCTGTTCCTCCTTTTATCTTGTGTAAAATATTTTTTACCATGCCATTTTGATTCTTCTGTAGAATTTGTTACTTTTTCTTAGCTACCTTTTAGTGACTGCTCAAAGTATTTTATTTCAGTGAAACATAAAGTTGGCTCCAATATATCTCCATTTCCTCCCTCTTTCTTTGTGTTGCTGTTATCTATTTTACATATATTTTATAACCTAACAATACAGTGCAAGAATTATTTCTTTACACAATCTTTTGTGCTTTAAAGAACTTAATAAATGGGAAAACATATTTCATATATTCTTTTATTTATCCACATACTTACTATTTCTGACCTTCTTCATTTCTTCCTGTAGGTTGGTGTGATTATCTGGTATCACTTCCTTTCAGTCTCATAATCTTCCTTTAATTTTTCTTGTAAGGCAAGTCTGCTAGCCACAAATTCCCACAGTCTTTGTTTATCTGGAAATGATCATTTTTGAAAGATACTTTTACTGACAGTTTCTGCACTTTGTGTCATTCTACAGCCTTCTGGCCCCTATTATTTCTGATGAACAATCAACCTTTAATTATATTGTTTTCATGTGCATGATGAGCCATTTTGCCCTTGATGCTTTCAAGATAATTCTGTTTGTTTGACTTACAGCAGTTTTATTATGATATATTTGGATGTGGATCTCTTCCTGTTTCTTATGCTTTGGCTTCATTGAGCTTCTTGGATGTGGCAGATTAATGTTTTATATCAAACTTTGAAATTTTTTAGCCGTTATTTCTTCAAATGTTTTTTCACTCCCCTTTTCTCTCCCTCTGCTTCTAGGACTCTGATTACTTATATATTTGTAAACCCCCATGTTGTACAAAATGTCTTTGAAGTGCTGTTCATTTTTCTTCAATTGCTTTTTTCTCTAATCTTCAGATTGGAAAATTTCTATTGATCTTCAGATTCACTGATTTATTTTTCAGTCATGTTAAATCTGCTGTTGAGCCTCTCCTGTTAATTTTTCAGTTATTGTGCTTTTCAACTCTAAAATTCCCTTTTGCTTATTTTTAACTGTTCTCTCTCTTTATTGAGATTTTTCTATTTGTTGAGTATTATCCTTACCATTAATTCAGTGTTTTCTGTTTATTTCATGTATGTAATGGTTGCATTAAAAATCAATGCCTGATAGGCCTAACATTTGGGGCCATTTAGAGATAGCTTCAATTGACAGCCTTTTTTCTTGAGTATGCTTAGATTGACCTTCTTTGTTTTTTGTGTTTTTTTTTTTGAGTGTTTTATAAATTTTGTTGAATACTAGATGTTTTAGGTGATATACTGTAGCAACTCTTGATTCTAATTTCTTCCTCCTATAGTGATTGCTATTATTTTGTCTCTCTGTGTAGTAACTTGCCTGGACTAAATCTGTAAAGTTGTCTCCTTAGCAATGTCTGGTCACTGGTGTGTTTTCTCAGTTTTTTTTTGTTTATTAGCCTGACTTTATTGTGTTTCTGCATAGCTTAATGTTCAACCAACAGGTCATAAATTTTGCTTTAATACCTCAAACTAGTAAGATATTTACTCTCTGGTAATGGATCTGGATGTAGTCTAAGGAGTGTATTTAAAGTTAAGGTCATCTTCAAGTATGCCATGGATTTTAGTTTCTGCTGAATCCTCTCCTGTCTCCTATTCAATACACACATATGGGCTCTGTTGTCCTGTGTGGCTTGGGTCCCAGGATATGTGGAGAGCTTATCAATGCCCCATATATATATCACTTCCCAGAACTCCCTATTAAATCCTGGCTAGATCATTGCTTGCCACCAAGATTGCTGCTTTAACTGACAACACTCCAAATCAGTGAGCCCCACCAGGAGCAGAAAAGCTGCGGTTTTCATGGCTTCCTCTACCCTCTTTGAACAATGACCAGGTAGGAAATAGCCCCTATTATAGGCCTTGCCATCCCTCTATACACAGACTAAAGTGAACTATCTCCATATGAAACCAAATTATTCGAAATTATCATGATTTTTTTCATATAAACGTAGTTCTCTTAAATGAACCATATATATATATATATACATATACTATTAAATGTACAACTATAATACTATTATATCTACTGGTAGTGATCTTTTAAAAATTCAGCTTTATTAAGAAATATTTTCTCTAACTTGGACATAGATATTTTAGAATAATAAACTTCTGTTCCAAAAAGGTTTTATCATTAGAATGATGTAGAACAATGATCAAATTCAAAGACTGAAATTCATTTACCTTCCAAGAGCAGACAAGATTGGGTGCATTCAGAGTGATATGGCTATAAATTGAAATTTATTTAGATGCCATGATGGTAACCTATATGTGCAGTGGCAAAATAAAGAGTGCATGTCCTCTCTAAAGGCATTAAAATTCTATTAAATATTAAAAATTAGCCAAAGTATATATTTGGGCTCTATTCTTCTGGGTTTCATTCAGCCTTTTGGCTACCATTTTGTCACTTTGATTTAGAATCTGTTTAGAAAGTTATAGTTCTATTTTAAGTGAACCTTGGGCTAAAGAAGCTAAGTGTTTGTCACTCCTTTTCCAGCTCAAGGATTCCATGATTTTTATTCCTTTAAAATATAGTATTCTTTTTTTCTTGCAAGATGGCTTTTAGTTCATTTTTAAATTAGCCCCTTTACAAAAATAATAATTTTAATATCTTTTTACTATTCTTAGTTCAACACGTATGCTAGTTAGTATGTGTTAAGTATCATAACTGGGCAGGGGAAGAGTGGA